GTCTTGAGATTTTTATTTTCCTTTACAAAGTCTAAGGAAGGGCTGACTTCAGGAAAGGTTTGAACTGGCAGCTGAAGTTATATGGACAGACCCAGTTTCTTTCTCCCCTTTTCTCAGCCTCTCTTTCACATAGATCTCCCCTCATTGTCCTGAGATGTTATTGAACCAAACAGGGGTCTGCTCACCCAGTGCAGTAAAGCCAGACACTGGAGCTAAGAGTTGCAGCAATAGCAGGAGGCTTTATTTGCAGGGTGCCATGCAAAGAGAATGAGCAGCTAACACTTAAAACTGTAACTCCCCAATGGCTTACAAGCCAGGGTTTTTAAAAGCAGAGGTACATTTCAGGCAGGCCTGGCCCAAAAAGGTGAGATATCCTGAAGTGCGGTGGGTGGGGGGCATAGGTAGATTCAGAGATTCTTGGATTAGCAGAAAAGAATATTAAGATGGGTGTGACAGGCCCTTCGGGGGAAATTTAGAACAAAGAATGGCAGTCAGAGTTAATTCAATTGCTCTGTTCCCCTTATCTGAATTTTCCATCTGGTGGGGGTTCCTGAAAAACAACTCAAGAACATGTTAAGATGCCACCTTTTAGTTTCCATAGGTAACCAAAACACCTCCTGACACTGGATTGCTTGGAGGGCCATTGTTCTCATCAGATTGCCTGTTCACTTTTCAAGGTTAGCCAGGTGCCTAGACCTTCCCCCTGAAAAAAACCTCAGGATTTTCCTTTATTTCCACACTTGGGGGGTGCTGTAAGGCCCCCCAGAGGGGTCCCTGCTTGGTCTCAGAGGCAGATAGTACATAGTCCCAGCAGACCTCAGAGATGCTTGCTTAGTTTATCTCCAGTGGGAATGAAAAGTGTCCCTCCATGCAGCTTCCATGAAAGTATGAGGAAGCACCTCTCACAGATGCCCTTAGCAGGCATCTCCCTGCATCTCTGTGGCATGGAGATGAGGTCTGCTGGCTGGCTTAAAGGTGGGGTGGGGGGGAACCTTAACGAAGATCTGGGTGCCATTTTCTAAAGAAAAAGGAAAAGAGAGTGCTGCATGGCCCCAAACAGGCAGTATCCCTCCACAAATAGCAAGATTATTTTTTTCCTGCGATCGGCAGAAATAAAAGTTACAAATTTTAAGCCTACTCCATGGGATAAGTTTAATTTAATATCCTTTTTTTGTTTTGTTTTTATTTCAGCATATTATAGGGGTACAGATGTTTAGGTTACGTATGTTGCCCTTGACCCCCCTCCCCCCTAAGTCTGAGTTTCAAATATGTCCATCCTTCGGGCGGTGCGCATTGCACTCTTTGTGTATGCATATACCCATCCCCTCCTCCCTCCTCCCCCTCCCCCCTCTCCGCTGCCCAACATCCAATAGATGTTAGTCTTATATGTGTACTTATGTGTTGATCAGTTAATACTAATTCGATGGTGAGTACATGTGGTGTTTGTCTTTCCATTCTTGGGATACCTCACTTAGTAGAATGCATTCCAGCTCTATCCAGGAGTATACAAGAGGTGCTATATCACCATTGTTTCTTAGAGCTGAATAGTACTCCATGGTATACATATACCACATTTTATTAATCCACTCATGTATTGATGGGCACATGGGTTGTTTCCACATCTTTGCAATTGTGAATTGTGCTGCTATAAACATTCGGGTGCAGGTGTCTTTTTCATAGAGTGACTTTTGTCTTTTGGGTAGATGCCCAGTAACGGGATTGCTGGATCAAATGGTAGCTCTACTTGTATCTCTTTAAGGTATCTCCATATTGCTTTCCACAGAGGTTGCACTAGTTTGCAGTCCCACCAGCAGTGTATGAGTGTTCCTATCTCTCCGCATCCACGCCAACATTTATTGTTTTGGGACTTTTTGATAAAGCCCAGTCTCACTGGAGATAAGTGATATCTCATTGTGGTTTTGATTTGCATTTCCCTGATGATTAGAGATGTTGAGCATTTTTTCATATGTTTTTTGGCCATTATTCTGTCTTCTTTTGATATCCTTTTGAATGTGCCAAAAAAAGGTAAAAGAGCTATTTATTACCTTTTTAAAAAATTTTAATAGGAAGTGATATATTCTGTCTTCCAAAGCATGAGCCATTCATAAGTTATTATTTGATGAAGATTCTTATAAAATTTTTCTTCAGGGTACAGACTGCACCACATATGAAGAGGCCTTGCTTTCCTGATATAATATTTAAGCTCTATTTTTATTAGGACCTATGTAAATGTTATAATAGCTATTTTTAAATAATTCTAATCAAGGTATTTACACTTGTGTGTTGTTTTTCTGCTTTGCTAATGAATGTCCCTCCTATGTAATATAAACATCTGTCAAAAACTGTATTAGCAAGATGTTCATAAATCATATAATGGTTTCAATAGTGGTGCTAAATCTGCATGGCTCGTTATACCCCCTCCCTTTTAGAGTTTAGTCCAGCATATTAAAATAGAGATCAAAAGACTGACAAAACAGACTTTTGTGGCAATAAGATACCAAAATACAAACAGGACCTAAGGCCATGCCAAGCAAAGGTTAATTCACTCCTGCAGGCCTTCAGTTTGCTTACAGATCACTTTGAGTCAGTATATTGTGGCTTGCTCCCTGATTGATGGACTTCCTTATCTTAACTTAAAACATCCTTTGTACTGATTCCAAGCATTTAGACAAAGCTTTATTTCTTTAACCAATTACAAATTAAAGAATTTCTGAATCTACCTGTAACCTGTAAGCCCCTGTTTTGAGATGTCACACTTTTTTATGCCAAACTAATGTATTCCTTCCATGTATTGATTTATGATTTTATCTGCAATTCCTGTCTCCCTAAAATGTATAAAACCAAACTGTAACTCAACCACCTCAGGACCACTTACTAAAGCTTTCTTGGATTTGTGAATCCCTGGGCCATGCTCACTGATACTCGTCTTGTTAATGGAAAAAACCAAACTCAGTAAAATAATGTAAAGTTTATTCTGAGCCAAACGTGAGTGACCATGGCCCTGGGAACTTACCTCAAGAGGTCCTCAGAAAATGGCTCCTTTTCTATGTAAGTCACAGCGCCCCAGGGCAGCAACCGCAGGTTCCAGCCTTCCCTGCTCACCAGAGGCTCAGGCTTCCCTCTGGTAGCCTGGTGGTTTCCTCTGCTCTGTACCATCTCTACTCTGCCCCTGTGGTGACCCAACTTGGCTTGGCACTCCTCCCAGCTCAGAGTGGTCTCCCCTCCTTCAGTGACCATTGGGGTTCGGCCATTCCCAGAGGAGTGCACTCTTCTCCCTCTACTGAGGACATTGCAGTTGGAGGTGTTCCTCCTTTCTCCTTGGAGCACTCTGCACAAGTGCCTCCTTTATTGGCAGCTGTCACACCCATGTAAATGCTCACAAGCCTCAAATCTCTTTCTTCATTCAATTTTCCCTCAAGAACCTCAAACCAAATACAGAAAAAAGACACCATGATTTTGTCAAGTTTTAGTCTGAAAATGTCAGTTCTTGACGCGCATATGGCCAAAGAATGACCAGACATGCCAAAGTAAGGCAAGCACAAAAATGAGGTTTATTAAGGAGAAAAAGATAGGATTATAGGGCAAGAGCAAGATATAGGTTTATAGAGCATGGTACATACACCACAGATGATGACCGGGCCCATTATCACAACAAAGGGAGAGCAGAAGGAAGGGTGCAAAAATGGCCTAGTTATGGTCTGCGTCCTGTTTTTTAGTGCCCAGACTTCCCTCGTGGTTCAGAGATCACCATGGAACCACTTTGATGGGACAGTTGGGAGTCACATGACCTGAGTCTTAACTACACATGTAGGTTGTTCTAGGTCAATTTCCAGACTCTATGGTACCTATGTTGCTTGACCCATGGGCTAGAGAGTCCTCTGCATTCTTTTGCAACTGGCATGCTAAGTTATGATTGGCAGACTCGTAGGGTATTCCCTCCTCCCCCAGGTATGGCAGTTGCTGGGGAGATTAGGGTGGGGCAGGAACAAGATGGGGGCAACAGCACCCACTTTCATCCCTAGGAGACCCAGAATCCCTCACCATCTACCTAACAATTTCACCATTTTTAAGCCAAACGTGCATCTTCAAGCTCCCCATGTGGGTTCCTTGATTTACCTCGTCAGAAAGGCCAGAACCCTGTGGACCCCTCTGGTCACTAGACCCTTGGGCCTCCTTCAATGGCTCATCCCCACCCTGGTGACCCACCCATCTTGGTGCAGGCCTTCCCAACTCTACTCCTAGTCCTCCATCTCTCCAGCCAGGAGAATCTCTCAGAAATGTAATCCCAGCTCAACTGGGGCAGTGATTCATACCTGTAATCCCAGCACTTTGAGAAGCCAAGGTGGAGGATCGCTTGAGCCCAGGAGTTTGAGACCAGCCTAGGCAACATAGTGAGACCCCATCTCTACAAAAAATTGAAAAGTTAGCCAGGCATGTTGGTACATGCCTGTAGTCTCAGCTACTCAGGAGGCTGAGGCAGGAGGATCACTTAAGCCCAGGAGTTTGAGACCAGCCTAGGCAACATAGTGAGACCCCATCTCTACAAAAAATTGAAAAGTTAGCCAGGCATGTTGGTACATGCCTGTAGTCTCAGCTACTCAGGAGGCTGAGGCAGGAGGATCACTTAAGCCCAGGAGTTTGAGGTTGCAGTGAGTTACGATGCCACTGCACTCTAGCCCAGGCAACAGAGCAAGACTCTATCTCAAAAAAAAAAAAAAAAAAAAAGAATTATTGTATATAATTATGATAACTGTCACCCAGGCTAGAGTCAAAAAGGATTGTTCTCAAATCTGGTGACCATACTTAGTGACGTATCCACCGAAATTGTGTTTCAATATTAGACAATTGTATTAAATATTGATATGCTTATGTGTGATACATTGGCATTACTTATTTTGTTAATGTTTAATAAAATGTGATACATTTTAAATACTCTTAAATGGTACAGATTAATTTAAGAGTAGATATTCCAGCTAAAACTATTCTCTTATTATTAACAGAATATCCAAGGTATTTCCAAGCACCCAATTCAAATTAAGAAACCTCGAAATTTTAAAGGTAACTCATTTTTTTCTATCTTGCTAAAATCTTGGATAACATTTTTTGAAAACCTAGAAGTGTTTGTCATCACTTTTCTGTATAACTAACTGCTTTACTTTCCTTAAGTTCCCTGTACTTGCATGACCAGGATTTAAATATATATTGAAAATAAAAAACAGCTAAAGTGATATGGTGCCTCCCTTTTAGCAGTTTATAAGTGAAAATAGATGATAATTATATGAGGGAAGTAGCTTCCCTCCTACCATCTCTCCTCTGCCAACTTCCCGATAAAGAACAAACAAACATACAATAGCACTGGCTTTTATTAAAGTCTGAAAATTATGGAAATGTTTATAGAAGCACAGTAACACTCTTTACCTTTTTTTTTTTTTTTAAGAGACAGGGTCTCGCTCTGTCACCAAGGCTGGAATGCAACAGTAGTGCACTGACAGCTCACTGTAGCCTGGAACTCATGGGCTCAAGAGCTCCTCCAAGGCTCAGCTGATGGACACTTTTCTAAAAAAGACAAAGTTCAGATCTGAGCAAATGAGCATTCTGAGGCCCATTCCCAACCCACACCTGCACCCTTGGTGGGGACGCTCCTGCCCCTTGCTCTGGGCACTACTGCACCAGGAGGTCCTGGGAAAACAGTGGAGCATGGTGAGAAGTCCTTTTTAAAATATATAGTCATGCTAAACAGGCTTGGTCCCCATGCCCTTGAAGAATCTTCTGTGGGGATTCATAGTGTGCTTCCCCCATAGATCTTCTAATAAGGCTCAGAGGCTACAGACTGTTTTTACTGGAATGCATTCAATTGTCAATATTTGACTTGTCCTTTCTTCATTAAAAATTCTAGACAGAACAGAAAATTTTAATACCAGAAAATCTAGTTAACTTTTAGTAGTAATATGTTATTTTAAAATTACATTAATAAAAATATTCAGAAAAACTAAAAATCTAGACTTGACCTCAGAATGATATTAAAATAATTTTGTATTGAGGAATAGCTATTGAGTCAGCTCATGACCAAATGACCAAATTCACCAAGTGCTTTTGAAATAACAATTCAGGTAAAGAAGATGAGATTCTCACAATCTCCCCAAGGGCCATGTTTGTTTCGTCCAAAGGCCACACCTTCCTAGCAGCAGGTACGTGCGTGCAGTGCTGGAGGGACATAATGGTCAAGGTAGCTCTCTTTATGCATTTTCAAATATTTAGAAATTAAGTAATTCAAAGGTACCTATAGAACTCATTCTTTCAAATAATTCCTAAGGCAAAGATTTATATGAAACAAAGATTTCTTGTGCACAGTAAATAATAACAGGTCTTTTACTTCCAGGGCCCCTTCACTTCACCACATCAAAATCCCACATAGCCCTGCATGGTCCTGATCAATCTGCCCCTCTCCTCCTTGTCCTTGCCCCCACTGCTCTCTGCCTAGCACACTCTCTGTGGCCTCACCGTCTGCTCTGGTCCTCCTCCCAGTGACAGCCCATCCACCTCAGGCCCCTACCCAGGCCATGCCTCTTCCCCAGATGCCATCTTGGCACCTTCTTCACTGCCTCCATACCTTTGCTAAATGTTACTATCTTGGCAAGGCCTGTAATAGGGTGCCTGATTACCCTATTTATAACAGCAACTTCCCTACACACACACACACACACACACACGCACACACACACACACACACGCACACACACACGCACACTCCTGAACCTCCTCACTGTCATTGAACTTTTCCATTTCATTTCTCCCCTTCTAACATACCAAATAATTTATTCAAGGTATCTTCTCCTCCTAGAATGTAAGCTCCATGGGGAAGGCAATTTTGTCTATTTTGTTCACTAACATATCCCAAGCACAGAGCCTGGCACATAGTAGGCCCTTTCTAAAATTTTGATGTACACAATGAACGAATGAACCAATGAACAAATGAATGAATATAGCCCACCCTGGAGGCCTTGCTGGCCTTCAGGAGGTAGAGAAGATGTGCAGACCCAGGGAATGGCCCGTGACACTGAGACCAGAGGACCCTGGCCAGTGGGAGGTGGGGATGTTGACCTTGACCAGCAGAGGGGCGGAAAGTCTGAGGTGGGGCGGGAGGAGCAACAATGAGCGCCACTCTTGGTAAATTCTGATTTAATGCAGAACTTTCTCTAACAGACTTTTCACAGATTGAATTACGCGTTCTTGCACATTTATCTGGGGATCCAGAACTTTTGAAGTTATTCCAGGAATCTGAAAGAGATGATGTGTTTTCTACTCTGACTTCACAGTGGTAAGATATATGCACTCAGGTTATCAGATCTGCAGGAATGCCGACATGATTTTAAAAGCCTGAGGTCATTCCAAGGCTATTTTCAAAAAGCAGAAATTACATTTTTTCTTCAGTAGTTAATCATGTCGAAAAGAAGAATAGACAACTAGGATGCCAGAGTCTCCTAATAATGGAGGAACTGATGGTTCTTCCCTGCTTAAAAAGAAGTCAATCCCTGGAGAATGTATTAGTAATAGAAATGGTGTTAAAAACAAGCCCCCTCCAGGTGAGCTCCTGGAGGCGGAGAGCACAGCAGGATGCTCCGCTGGGTGGGTGGCTGCCCAGCAATCTGGGCTGCGGGGCAGTCCCTGCCCATGGCTCATACTTGGCAGACAGGCAGGTGGCCTTGGGTGGTGTTGGGCGATCGGCAGTGTTGTCAGAGGTCCTTCTTTCTTTCTGAGTCTTTACTCTTAGGACATTGGCTCTCCTTCCTCCTGGCGTTGGAGAGGAGCCTTCTATGGAAGCCTTCATCCATATTCCTTTTATTTTTCATTTTTACTCTAGCATTGTTAATGTATCTTTGTTGACTTCCTCCTTCCCCTCTACTGGGAAAGAAAAAAACTACTTAGGGTTGCCCTAAAGGTAACCCGAGAAGGAAATCCTATCTTCAGCCTGGGTGAAGACCCCATTTGTTGTTTAGGTGCAATACAAACTTCTACACTTATCCCCTCTACTTTCTCACTGCCAGCTCATTCTTGCTTTTTAAAACAAACTTTCATTTTATGTACTTAGGCTTTTATTTCCATTTGAAGCCAGGAACTCCTTACATCTAAGACAATGATTGCCTTTCTTCAGTGTTGGTTGGCCTTGAGGTCCAAGGCCAGCACCCGCAGGTGAGAACCCTGCCACCAGCAGGGGAGACTCAAAGGCTCCCCAGGGTCTTTGCTGATGTGCAGCACCACCGACCCCCGCCTCAGGCACCACCCAGGATTTTCTTTTTGTCTCTGTGCCCAATGTTTCTGCGGAGATGCCCTTCTAGGTTTCACCATTTTTTTTTTAAACCAAGATACAATTCAAAAACCATAAAATTCACCCTTTTAAAGTTAAAATTTCATGCTTTTTAGACATTCACAAGGTTGTGTAACCATCACCACTATCTAATTCCAAAATATTTCCATCACTCCAAAAAGAAACCCCACATCCATTAACCATTACTCCCCACTCTCCCCTCCTCCCAGCCCCTAGAAACCACTAATCTACTTTCTGTCTCTAGATTGCCTATTCTGGACATTTCACATTAATGGAATCATGCAACATGGGGCCATTTATGTCTGGCTTCTTTTACTGAGAAGACGTCTTCAAGGTTTATCCATGTCATAGGATGTAACAGTACTTGATTCCTTTTTATGACTGAAAAAGATTTTATCATGTGGAATAATATATTCTATATATTTCAATAAAAGTAAGCAAATATATTCCATGTATTTATCCATTCATCAAATGTCCTTTGATGGACATTAGGGTTGTTTCCACTTTTTGGCTATTATGAATATGAACATTTGTATACAAGTTTTCGTGTGGACTTATGTTTTAATTTCTCTTGATTATATATTAATACTTAGGAGTAGAATTGCTGGGTCATAAAGTAATGCTATGTTTAGCTTTTTATATTGTGGTAAAATAACTCCATCACATAAAATTTACCATCTCAACTATTTAAAATGTACAATTTAGTGACAGCTATGTTTAACTTTTTGAGGAACTGCTAAACGATTTTGCAAAATAGCTGCACCATTTTACACTCCCATAAGTAGTGTATGGGGTTTCAGTTTCTCCACATTCTCACCAATACTTTTTATTATCTGTCTTTTTGATTCTAGCCATCGTAGTGAGTATGAAGTGGTGTCTCATTGTAATTTTGACTTGCATTTCCCTAATGAATATGATGTTGAGCACCTTTTCATGTGTACAACATTTATTCTTTATCTTTGTCTCTTCCCCTTCTCTACATCTTGAACACAAGTGCACCCTGGGGTGTTTTGTTTGCCATCCTTTCTCTATGTACTTCCTCCCAGAAGGTGTCCTTCTTTCTCACTTTCACTTTCCCTCCAGTTAGGATATAAGTAATATAGATTTGTTCAAGTATGTAATAAATTTAATAACACCCCTTCCCTCTCTGCAGAGGTCTGGAAAGTCATAGAAAATGGTTTTTGTTTAAGCAGGAAGAGTGTTTTGCTTTTTTGGTTAACTCTTGAGCTTTCCATCTTAGTGCTTAGATGGAATAAATGTCCTGGATTTTCTCTTTTATAGTGTATGAGAGAGTCTCTCTGTGATTCAAGGTCAGTGTTTGTGCATAGATAACAAGCATATTATTTTTGTTCAGTGGGTCCAAAACTACTCTGGTTGTTGCTAACCAACTATGTTAGCAAAGTTACAGCAAAACATTTTTGTCAAAGTACTCAGCAAAGGATACAGCTAAAACAGTACTGAGAAGTAAATGTATAGCACCAAATGCTTACATTAGAAATCAAAAAAGACCGGGTGTGGTGGCTCACGCCTGTAATCCTAGCACTCTGGGAGGCTGAGGCGGGTGGATCGTTTGAGCTCAGGAGTTCAAGACCAGCCTGAGCAAGAGCGAGACCCCGTCTCTACTAAAAAAATAGAAATTAGCTGAACAACTAAAAAAATATATATATAAAAAATTAGCTGGACATGGTGGCTCATGCCTGTAGTCCCAGCTACTCAGGAGGCTGAGGCAGGAGGATCACTTGAGCCCAGGAGTTTGAGGTTGCTGTGAACTAGGCTGATGCATGGCACTCTAGCCCAGTCAACAGAGTGAGACTCTGTCTCAAAAAAAAAAAAAGAAATCAAAAAAGATCTTAAATCAGTAATCTAAGTTTCTATCCTAAGATACCTGAAAAGGAAAAGCAAGATAAACCCAAACTAAGCAGAAAGAATGAAATAATAAAGATAAGAGCGGAAATCAGTGAAAGTGAAAATAGGAAAACAATAGAGAAGATTAATGAAAGAAGCTGGTTCTTTGAAAAATAAATAAAATGGATAAACACAAAAAATGAAAATAGAAATGACATAAATCACCAATATTAGGAATGCAGTAGGGAATATCACTAAAGATCCCGCAGACATCAAAAGGATAATAAGGGAATACTATGAACAACTTTTTATTTCAAAAATTCAATAATGTAGAGGAAATAGACCTATTTCTTGAAAACTACAAACTATCAAAACCTAATTAAGATGAAATAGATAACATGAATATTTCTATAACTATTAAAAAATTTGAGTTTGTAACTTAAAAGTTCCTGAAAAAGAAATTCTCAGTCCCAGATGGCTTCACTGGAGGATTTTACCAAACATCTAAAGAATAATTAACACCAATTTTATACAACCTCTTCCAAAAATAGATTACATTCCAATTCATTCTATGAAGTTAGTATTAACCCTGATACCAAAATCAGACAGAGAGTAAAAAAATAAAATAAAACTAACAAACAAGAAAAAAACCTGGAGACCAATATCACTTATGAATTTAGATGCAGAAATCCTCAACAAAATATTAGCAAACCAAATCCAACAATGTATAAAAATAATTATATGGTATGTCCAAGTGGGATTTATTCTTTGAATGCAAGGCTGGTTCGACATTCAAAAATCTATCAGTGTAATCTACCATGTCATCAAGCTGAAGAATAAAACTAGTATATTAATTGATGTGGACAAAAGCATTTGACAAAATCTAACACCCATTCATGATAAAAAAATTCTCATCAAATTAGAAATAGTGGGAAATGACCTCAATTTGAACATCTGTTAAAAAAAAAAAACTAAAGCCAATAGCATATTTTAATGGTGAAAGGCTAAATGTTTTCCCCCTAAGATCAAGAACAACTTATTAATATTGCATACTGGAGTTCTAGCCACTGCATAAGATAAGAAAAAGAAATGAATGGCATGTATATTTAAAAGGAAGAAATAAAACTGTCTCTATTTGCAGATGACAAGATTGTCTATGTAGAAAATTCCAAAGAATATACAAAGAAAAAAATTTCTTAACTCTTAGGACTAATGAGTGTGCTCAGCAAAGTCTTAAGACCCAAAATCAATACACAAAAATCAATTGCATTTCTATAAACTGACAATGAATATGCAGAAATTGAAATTAAAACATAATACCATTAATATTCAAAGATAATGAAATACTTAAATATTTAGTTTTCCAAATATGTACAACATCTGTATACCTAAAAGTACAAAATGCTGATTAAGGGAATCAAAGATCTAATAAACTAAGAGACATGTTCATGATATGGAAGACTCAACATCCAAAAAATGTCAACTCTCCTAAATTGACCCATAGGTTTCTGATGTAATCCCTATTAAGACCCAAGCAAGGTTTTTATAGACACAGACAAACTTATTCTAAAATGCATATGAAAAGCCACAGGCCCTAGAATAGCTAAAACAATCTTGACAAAGAACAATAAAGTGGGAGGAATCACTCCACCTGATATGAAGACTTAATATGTAGTAATCAAGAGGGTGTGATGTTGGCAGAGAGACAGATACTAGATCAGCGGAACAGAAAAGCCAGAAATAGACCCTCACAAATATGCTTGACTGATTTTTGACAAAGGTGTAATGTATAAGGTGAAGAATAATTCTCTTCAGATTCATGTCAAGCCAATCACTATGAAGCCAACTGGAGAAATTCACATCTATACTGGATACTGTCTATGTCTTTTCTGCATTTTATTAGCTTGCATTAGTTCTTGGGAGAACTTCAAAACTACAAAGCTTTTAATATTTTCATGATGGTTGTTTCTAATTCCCCATCAGCAGTAATAATCCAGTGTTTGTGGCTTATACTGTAATTAGTTGCTGTGGAAATGATTTTTAGATTCCAAACAAAGGACTAGAATAGCACATGGTAAAAAAAAAAACAAACAAAAAACCAGCAAGATCAAATACACTCTTAAAAATGTTTATTTTGTGTCAATGCT